CCCCCCCCCCGCCTGCCGTGCTGTCGCAGTTGGCTCACACCTATAATCCTAGCTACTCAGGAGGCTGAGATCTGAGGATTGTGGTTCAAAGCCAGCCCGAGCAGGAAAAGTCTGTGAGACTCTTAGCTCCAATAAACCACTCAGAAAAACAGAAGTGGTGCTGTGGCTCAAGTGGTAGAGTGCTTGCCTTGAGCTGAAGAGTTGAGGGACAGTGCCCCGGCCCCGAGTTCAAGCCCCACGACCAAAAACAAAGCAAAACAATAAAGAGTCTCATTGACTTTCTTGTCTGGGCTGGCTTTGAACTATGAGTCTCAGATTTCAGCATCCTGAGTAGCTAGGATTATAATTACAGACATGAGTCACTGGCACTCAGCTGTTACTGTGTTTTTGTGTTTGGGTTTTTTCTTTTTTTTTTTTTTTTTGGTGTGTGTGTTTGTTTTTGGTGTTATGATTGAACTCAAGACCCTATGCATACTAAGCATTGTGCTATACTAGTGAACTACACTCTACCCCTCAACAATTTTGTGTTTTAATAAAGTATTTGGGGATATCCTTAGATTGGTACTCTCTTCTAAAAAGAACTGCCCCAGGGCTGGGAATGTGGCTTAGTGGTAGAGTATTTGCCTAGTATGCATGAAGCTTTGGGTTTGATTTCTCAGTACTACATAAACAGAAAAAGTTGGAACTGGTGCTGTGGCTCAAGTGGCAGAGTGCTAGCCTTGAGCAAAAGAAGCTTAGGGGCAGAGCCCAGGCCCTGAGTTCAAGCCCCAAGACTGGCAAAAAAAAAAGAACTTCTCCAGAAATCCTGGCCTTATCAGAAGTAAGTGACTCAGAAACCTGTGAGGAAAGAAGGCCACTTTGGTGTTTATTGCCATCTCTGGTTTGGAAGGAACAAAGGTGACCTACCTGGGCAGCCTCATAAGTGATGGTCTTGGTCTCAGTGTGGACAATGGGGACGTCTTTGGTTGGGATTTCACTTTTTGCAGCATTGGCTGTATCTGAGATGGTGACTGTCTGAGTCTTTACCAGAGGAGGCTGTGAAACAGTAAAGAAACAGAGTTAGCAGCAGTTTCTGAAGGCCAGGAGAGCTGAACTGTCTGACATTGATCTGATCAAAGTATCTGCTGGAATAAAGCAAAGGGCAAGTTCAATCTCCAAAGGTGTTTCGTCTGCTCAAGACTTGGACACCATTCCAAAGTAGCTCTGACAAGGTGTCACAACACGAAGGGCATTAAAAAGCAGCATTACTGTAATCACTTTCATAAGCCTAATGGAAAATTGTAAGATCAGACAGTTATGACTGGTGATATAAAACACTTCAGACTGACCTTCAAATGTGAATATAAAACTATTTGCCAAATAGCAATCACTTTCATTTGTCCTTGAGACTGTGCCATTATAATTAAGCAAGTCAGCCACATTTCCTCCACTACGGACAAATGGTACAGGAAAACGCAGAGGCCCAGGAAAACATTATCCTGGAATTCATTAACTTCTTTCAAATCAATGTCAGACATTCACATTGGATTTACTGAGAAGAAACAGCCTTTGGGAAACTGGAGAGAAAACTCAGTTCTACCACCACCTGGTGATTATTAATCTCAGAATTTCAGAAGAACAAATGTTATTGTCCATCTGCTCTACTTCCCCAAGACTATAAATCACCCTAAAGGTACCATTTGATTGTGATCAGGTTCATCCACCTCAGCACAGGAAGAGAGCCTGCGATCAGGGAAGGCTCTGTTTTGTGGTCAGTGGTAGTGGTGGCCTGAACAGTGTGGCTCCATTACATACATTATTATTTGGGGCCTGAAATCTCATTTTAGAAAATATAATTTGGAATTATTTTTCTAGCATGGTCTGAAAACACTGAAGGCTCCTTGCTGTGGAAACCTCTATAATTCATCTTTTCCCACAGCTCATACTTGAGTAAGGAAAAGTGGAACTTATTGATGCCAACTTCCTAGCTGGAGTTTACTCCCAAGAGTTCTGGAAGGCTGTCAGTGGGAAACATTTGTAGCTATGGAGGTAATTCCTTTGAATGAACCTCTTTTTTTTTCTTTTTGACACAATCACAGACTTTGACTCTCTGATTTTGAAAAACAAACTGGCCACCACTACCACTACCGCTACCACCACCACCACTACCACCACCATCACCTCCTCCTCCACAGAAGATTGTAGCCCTCTCCCATAGAGTCATGAGAGCTGCATCATCAAATCAGGTACTACCTGGAAACTTCGAATGAGGGTGGGGAACTGGTTACCCACACAAGAGTCAAGAAATGATCCATTTTGTTTTCCAAGTGACTCTCCTGGTGTAACATGCTCTTCACTACTGTCTGCCTTGCTTTCACCAAGCTGCAGCTGACAGGAGGCTGAGAACTGTAAGGCACTGGCCTGTTCCTCCACTCCTATGCATTCCCCACTTGGGCCACTTGGCGTCTCCTTAATATCAAGATGGCCAGCTGCCCCCTGCTCCTTCTCTTCTGTCTCCTTGCTGCTTATGGAGAGGGAGCCAAAGCCAAAGCTCTGCGGAGACTCCGATGGGGTGGTCATCTGGCTCTGACTAGGACCTACTGACTGCTTGAGACCCTCCCATTCAGAGGCAGGGTAGGCAGATGGCCCTTTTGTCACGACAGCCACCTCCTCTGTGCGAATGCCATTTACACTCTACAAATGAATGGACATATACAAAAGCAAGAAGATTAGGAATAAGAAGGGGACATTAGAGTGAACGATGAGAATCAACAATGATTTATCCACAGCCGCAAAATATTAAGACAAATATAAACCATGAATGCTAACACCAAAGGCAGTAAAAGAAAAACTGCTAATCATCATACACATCAGCAGCTTAAGCAGTCTCAGCTCATTCTGGCCATATTTCAATAACACTGTTAACCTGGGAAAGAATTTCAACATGCCTCATACAGTATTCAACACTTTGTATTCCACGTTCATCCCTGCATAACTACTTAAAAGAGTTACATTATCATTCTTACAGAACTCATTACTATGCACAGGACACAAAGTAATTTATGAGTCAATCAAAACATGTTCTTTATGAGCCTGGTTGGGTTGGAAGAATATCATGTATCTCATATCCCTATGTATGATCAGACTGGCCTCCAACAGAGAAACTAAAGCCTATACTCTGGTTGGCATGGGATCAGATTTGAGTCCATCCTGTACAGATTTACTCTATCATGGTCATGGCATCACACATGTATCAAAAATAGGAACTATTAAGCCAGGTGCCAGTGGCTCATGCCTGCAATCCTAGCTACTCAGGAGGCTGAGGTCTGAGGATCATGGTTTGAAGCCAGTCCAGGCAGAAAAGTCCCCATGCGACTCTTATCTCCAATTAACCACTCAAAAACTGGAAGTGGTGCTGTGGCTCAAGCAGTAGAGTGCTAGCCTTGAGCACAAAGAGGTTCTGGGATAGTGCCCAGTCCCTGAATTCAAGCCCCACAACCAGCAACAACAAAAAAAAGGAACTGTTTCTTTACAGATTAATGACATCATACCTGTAATTTCTGTTACAGTTCATTCCTGAGTTTAATGCCTCTAATCACAGGAAAAACAGCTTTGTTTTAGGTCTTTAGCTTAAACTAAGTCATTTCTTTAAAAAAAAAGTAATTTTGAGGCATTTCATTAGAAGAAAATTGGCATTTATATACACAAACTAATAGTAACTAAAATTTCATCACACATTTACTTGATCTTTAACTTCACTAATTTTGGCTGCTAAGGAAGGAGATGCTCTTCTCTCTGGGTGACTTAGAACATAAGTCATTGATGAGCATCTTGCATTTTTCTTTTATTAGCAGTAGGGTTTATAACTTATATTAACCCTGTTTCCTGTTCTATCATTGGCTGTGGTAGAACTCAAAAAATTTGCTTTCCTTGGATCTCCATGTGCTTCATGGTTGGTAAAACAAATTGGCCTGCAAACCCTGCAGCCACAGTTGTCAGTCTAACTGTAACCTATATGGCCATGGCTGAGGCTCAGCTTGTGTCTCCACTGGAATGTGGTTCATCCAGCCCAGGAGCCACAGTGCCCAGTATACAAGTTTATCAGAAAGCAACGCAGCCAGCAAGAAAAACCTCCATTGTCAGAAAAAGAGTTTGCCCTCCCCCCAATACTAGGATTTGAACTTAGGACCTTGAGCTTGCTAGGAAGGTGCTCTATAAAAAAAAAAGTTTAAAAGTTAAGTGTTTTCAAGAAAACATGGGTCAGAAGATATCATTACAATAGATAGTAGGTGGGTCCACTGCTAAAATTCAAATAAAATCTCTATGTGGAATAAAAGAAGTGGGAATTCCCATCTGTAGAAAAGGGATATAACCTGTCTGAAAAAAAGAACCATGTAGCTGAAGCTAAGTGTTGTGGCATGTAACGTTACCATGTGCTCACCAGAAAGTTGTGAAGGAGCCAAAGAGGCCTCAAATTTTGGTAAGATCATTTGGCCATATTAATACCAAATAGGAACTTAATATTAGAAAAGAGACTTTTACAGATTTTCTTGGAGTAAGTAACATAGATTGGGTCAGCTAGTACATTTTAATCATATTATATGCATTATACATATTTTTTGTTTTGGGTCCGGTCGTGGGGCCTGACCTCTGGGCCTGGGCACTGTCCCTCAGCTCTCCAGCTCAAGGCTAGAGCTGTACCACTTGAGCCACAGTGCCACTTCCAGCTTTTTTTTTCTTTTTGCTTATGTGGTGCTGAGGAATCGAACTCAGGGCCTCAGGCATGCAAGGCAAGCGCTCTACCACTGAGCCATCTTTCCAGCCCGCATTATACATGTTTTTTAAAGCACTACTCTTTAGTCTGTAAACTAGCCTATGATGTACAATTTTTTGTTTTTGTTTTTTTGGTCTGGTCGTGGGGCCTGAACTCTGGGCCTGGGCGCTGTCCCTCAGCTCTTCAGCTCAAGGCTAGTGCTCTACCACTTGAGGCACAGTGCCACTTCCAGCTTTTTTTTTCTGCTTATGTGGTGCTGAGGAATCGAACCCAGGGCCTCATGCATGCAAGGCAAGCACTCTACCACTGAGCCACTTTCCCAGCCCTACAATTTTTTTTTTAACCAATGCTCTATTAAGGCAAGAAACAGCATCCCGCACTCAAGGATTTTAGATCAGCTTCACTCCTGAGCCATCTTCAGACATGCAACTCATGAGCATCTCAAACTGATCAGGCAGATCAAAAGATCTAGTGGGAAAAAAAAAAAAGATCTAGGGGCTGGGAAGGTGGCTCAGTGGTAGAGTGCTTGCCTTGCATGCATGAGGCCCTGGGTTCGATTCCTCAGCACCACATAAGCAGAAAAAGCTGGAAGTGGTGCTGTGGCACAAGTGGTAGAGCACTAGCCTTGAGCTGAAGAGCTGAGGGACAGTGCCCAGGCCCAGAGTTCAGGCAACCATGACTGGCAAAAAAAAAAAGATCTAGTGAAAATAGCTAATTATGAACACTATTCAGGCCATGAAGGATGATAACAGAGGTTGATAACAGAGCTGTTTGGTCTACAGATCAGACATACAGAAAATATACCTCTTGCCAATAGTATATAAAATCCTCACCTTTAAAATGAGAATATAATTCGGTTTGACTTGTAACATTCTAGGGATCAAATATGATACACATATGAAAACATTTTGTAAGTTCTAAAGAATGATGCCAATTCATTTAACTCAACTACACAATTAACAAAGAACTTAAATGTGTGTGTGTGTGTTCAAACTCCCTATGTGTTCATGCCCTAAGACCGGGTGCACAGGAATTAACTTGTTGCTGTTCTTAGCATGCTGACTATTTTCTAGGGTACTGATTTCACAATTTCTTTTTTGAATCAGATAAACTACTATAGAGCTGTCCAAAAATAGACCAGCTGACCATGCACAGGGTTCATCAAATTGCTGTTTGCCAGTCTTAGTTGTCAATACTGTACAATTCTCATGGAGAGGAGCTTCAAGCATTCTCCAAATAATTTTGCCAATACTGAGAAGATTGACTAGTAATGAAAAAAAAA